CCCCCGCTCTCCCTCTCTCTCGCTCGCTCTCTCTCTCTCTCTCTCTCTCTCTCTCTCTCTCTCTCTCTCTCTCTCTCTCTCTCTCGCTCGCTCTCTCTCTCTCTCTCTCTCTCTCTCTCTCTCGCTCTCTCTCTCTCTCTCTCTCGCGCTCTCTCTCTCTCATTCTCTCTCTCTCTTGTACAGTTGGCTTGGCTGCGGGCGGACACGAAAACACTGCTCGCATTGAATGATCACGTCATACACGACGACAGCCGCGTCAGCAGCAGCGGCGACGGGACGTTGACGATAGCGGAGACGCGACCAGCTGACAGCGGCTTCTACATGTGCCAAATAAACACGAGTCCCGTGCGGCATGTGACCATGCAACTCATCGTGCTGGGTAACTATACGATAAACACGCACGCGCGGGGCCAAACAGAGAAGCAGGCAGCTGTCGTCTGCGTTTTTCACCCGCTTCTCCCTCCTTTCGCCGACCTCCCTCCCTTCCATCCTCCTTCCCCTCCCGCCCCCTTTATTCCTCCTCCCTTTCTCATCCCACCCTCCCCATCTCTCTCCGTGCCTCGCTCCGTGTCTCCCTCGCTCGGTAGATAGTTTATACTTGCTTTCTCTGCGTTTTTCACCCCCTCCCCTATTCGCTTCCTTAATTTCGTATTCTCTGCCTCCTTGCCTCCCCCGCTCGGTAGATAGCTTGGTTAGTTTATACTTGCTTCTCCCACCCTCACCTTCCCTCTCTCCCTCCCTTCCCCTAGATAATTTATACTTGCCTTCTCCCTCCCCACCTTTCCTCTCTCCCTCCCTGCCTCTAGATAGGTTATACTTGCCTTCTCCCTCCCCATCTTCCCTCTCTCCCTCCTTGCCCTTAGATAGGTTACACTTGCCTTCTTCCTCCTCCACCTCTCTTCTCCCTCTCTCCCTCTCTCCCTCTCTCCCTCTCTCCCTCTCTCCTTCTCTCCCTGCCTCCCCACTCGGTAGTTTATACTTGCCTTCTCGCGTTTATATAAGTGTGTCTTTTTTATATATTAGTGTAGTGCGGTGTTTGAATGTTATATCATCGAAACGAGCTGGAATCGGAAGTATTTACGAGGCCTCGGTCGCCGGTAGCCGCGCGTGTAGAAACGAGGTTTTTCCTACTCGCCCTTGATTCCCGCTAGACAAACATACTTCACGCCAGTCAATTACGTATTTCGCGATTCAGATTTAAATCATGTGCCGTGGCATCAATCGTGCGGTCGCGGAGTATAAACTCACAAATGAACGCGGGCGAATGCAACACCGTTGGCTTGAACTTCTTCTTATTCTTCTTCTTCTTATTCTTCTTTTTTCATCTTCATCTTCTTCTTCTTCTTCTTCTTCTTCTTTTTTCATCTTCATCTTCTTCTTCTTCTTCTTTTTCTTCTTCTTCTTCTTCATCTCCATCTTCTTCTTCTTCTTCTTTTTCTTCTTCATCGCCATCTTCGTCTTCTTCTTCTTCTTCATCTTCTTCTTCTTCATCATCATCATTATCTTCTTCTTCTTCTTTTTCTTCATTTTCTTCTCGGGTCACTATTGTAGTGTGGTAGGAGGATTCGCAGGTGGGAAACCTGACGCAACGTGAACACTCCTATGCCAGCACCAAGTATACGTTTGTTTCGACTTGGTGTAATCCGCGTGTTGTTCACTTTGGGATTCGCATGTTCCCCACTGGGATTATGCACATGTGCTCCTGTTATCGGAGCGGAACACGCAATACGTATACAGTGACGCATATACACAAAAATCGCGCGCACGCACACACACACAAACACGCACGCACGCACGCACGCACGCACGCACACAAACACGATGCACGCACGCACGCACGCACGCACGCACGCACGCACACACACACACACACACACACACGCACACACACACACACACACACACACACACACAC